CACGTGAACATGGGTGTGCAAATATCTGTTTGAGACCCAGAAGTGGAATTGTCAGATCATAGGGTAGTTCTGTGTTTACCTTTTGTACCATCTTACAGTCTCCCCAGTGACGGACAAGTGTTCCGATTTCTTCTCATCCTCTCCATCACATGTTGTTTTGCTTTCCTAATAGCCTTCCTAGTGGGTATGAGGTGGTGACTAATCACCTTCAATTAGAATTTTCTCTCCTGTCAGAGCTGTTGCTGCACCTACTTGATGTACGTGTGACCCATGTTGGGGGCATTTGTAAGAAGCAGTTCGCATTGACGAGCGGGAAGAAGGAAGCTGTAGCTCATTCCTTTATACGTAGCATCAGTTCACCATGTTCTTTTGTCTTTGTTTTTTGTTTTTTCAATAAAGCTCTATTTAAATGAAATACAGAAAATGTCTCTGGGCTTGCCACTTACCCGAGATCACTCTGGAGAACATTGTCTAGTATCAAGAGCCCAAAGTCATCCATCTGCATGATGACATTTGGTGCAGAAAGCAAGCCCTCTCCTGTTCCTCCAGGGGTATCTAATGAGCCAAGACCATTCTAGTTAAATCAATTTTGGATCAAATTCATGGGGGTACAGTGTCAGAAGGGAGTGTTTCTCTCACTGAGTGTTTAGCTTTGTTCACTTTAACGAGCATGACTGAAAACCACTGTTAACTTCCATTCACATGGCAGCATCAGCACACACCTCTGTATTTTAGAAATCATTATGAATTCTTGAGCCAAACATGGGTGACTGTTATTCTGTCTTGGAAATCTACTTCTGACAGATGGTGAACACTCTCCTTAATTTCCATTTAGCTTCCTTCCATAAGTAAGATGAGCATGTGATATGGATCAGTCGATGAAGCACCCTCAATTTTAAAGCCAGGTGATGTTAAGAATCATTATTTGGCCAAGCCTCTGGTCTTTATCTTTTGTCCACCGACGTCATTTGCTTAGTGTGATTTGTGTGTTTCACGTGTCATCCATCACCGTTGGGCAGTGTAGGCATATCACATAGAGGATTAGAGGAAAGCGATTTTGTGCTTAGAAAATAATTGAATGAAGATTTACTTTGCGACTTTAAGCTGCAGGACAGTCTCATATTTTAAAACTTATCATTTGGTTATATAAGCAGACAGGCCCCAGGTCTTGGAAAATGGGGCTTTGTCTCTGTTTGATTGGCCGGTCTGTGCTTGCTTAAGCAAAGGCTTGTTTAAGCACCAAGGGTCCAGCTCCAGGACAAACGATGGGGCAGGAGGAATCTGCCGTGTTGCGGGTCTCCTCTTCCTGCCTGCCAAGGTCAGACGAATATGTACGAAATCCACACCGTTTGGCAGAACTGCCTGATCCCCAGCTCTTCCCCACTCTCCTGGCTCCATACAGCATGGCAAGATGAAGACCTTTAGAATTTTGAAAAAACTAAAAGAGAAAAACCGCCCCTAATTTTTAGCCTGGGGAAACTCTGTGCTGACCATTTCCAGGTAAACCTGATACATTCTCTTGTATTATTGAGCCAATCTGTTCCTCATTCTTCAGCGACCCTAGCAAGACTTCTCAAATGTTTGCATTATATTGTCTTACAAAATATGCATTACCCAGTTTAGTTGGGAACTTGAAACCAAAGGTCAAGGCCCACCAGCTGTTATTTTGGAATCTCTGACCCTTGCTCAGCTTTCCGGGATGGCCTTCCCCAGACAAATGCTGTATGCAGCCCGAGTCTGCCAACACAGGGCTCCTCTCCCCTGCCACTGGTGTGGGGGTGGGATAGGAGAAGGGGAACAGTGGGCTTTCTCTCCTTGCTTGTACTCACCTAGTACAAACAACCCATGGGTTGTTTCATCTTCTTCTTCTGGTCATCATTCTGAATCTTGGGTCTTTGAACAGGCCTTACAAGGTCTTTATCTTCCAGATAGCTCACATGCATGAGCGGCTCTCACGGGATCCTTTTCTCCACCTCCTGTTGGGTGAATCTAGTCCTTTCTAGATGTGACTTTCATGTGTAAGGCGGGGGCGGGGGGGTGGGAAGTGGGGGAAGCTAAGGTAGGCTAGGAGGAAGTAATTTTGGGGGTAGGTGGGACTTTTTATAACTGCCCCTGCAAATTATACTGCGTAGTGAGGGCCTGGAGCTTCTTGGGATAAAATTAGATATAAGACTTTTTTTTTTTTTTTTTGAGGCATACAGTAGAAATACTTGTGGGTTGAGATTTATAATTGCATTGACAGGTAAATGGGACTAGAAAGGACAGATACAAAAAACCATCCAAATGGATCTGACAAATACAGGTTTTCCTAAGTGTTCACCTGAATGCAGAGTGGCTTAAAAAAAAAAAAACAAACAAACAACAAAAACAAAAAAACCCCAGTATGTTGAACGATTAAGTGGGGAATCCGAATGCACATTTTCCCTTCAAAATACCATATCCCTAATAAACTCTGATGAGGAAATAATAATGCTCCTGTAACCCTTTTCCTTTCGTAATTTATCTTTCTAATTCCAGTGAGTGAGCAATGACTTTGTGCCTGAGGAGAGTGAGCAGATGAGATTAATTTGTGCTATTGCAGCTCTGCTTTATTATCTATCCATCCTTGGAGAGGGTTGCAGTGGAGATGCTTTTAGCAGAAGCATTGTGGAAAAAGCTGCTCTGAGGGCTTGGAGGAGCTAAGTGCTGCCCTTTGCAGTGTCTTGGTCCTGTGGGGGCAGCCTGGGAGCTGGCTCTCTCTGGCTTCGCTGTCCCCTCCTGCCCTCCTGGCGGGTGGGTGTGGTGGGTGGGCCAGGCAGTCAAGGAGAACCCTTCCCTCGGGTGCCTCTGCTTCCAAAAGGATGCTCTTCAAGACCTCTTCGGTTGGCAGCTTCCTATGCATGGTTCCCTCCTATGTCCAATGCTGCCTGCTCATACCAGGCCCACAGTTTTTCTTTTTTTTTTTTTTTTTACAGAAGTATTTTTATAGTCACATTGTATTATGACCACCTTAAAACTATTTTAAAGGAAAACCACCCTTTATCCACTACCCTGGCAGGGCATTCCCATATCTTCATCCTCTGGTTATTTTATATATCTAAAACACACACACGTACACACACACACACTTATTTGTAATATATATATTTTAAATATATATGTAATTCCTTTCATGTGCTCCTTTTCCTGTCACCCATGTATAAAATCTTGGCATCGCCTCTTACATCTTTTCTGCTCCTGTCAATGGCTTAGGACACAGTGGGAGGAAAGGGGAAACGATATTTTCTTTTTGATAAAATGTAGGTACTGACACATATTACGTAGTGTCATGAGGACTCAGTAATGAGTGTGAAGGGACCCATCCAAATGACACATAATAGGTTGCTCAGCAGTATCTGTGGTCCGTTGGCAAGTTGAGTCCGTTCTTCTGCAGTTTCTCTGGCATCTGTTATTTCCATTTCTTAGCAGATGCCCATAATGATGGGCAATTACTTTCATTCATAGACTAGACAAGAGGCTTCTTCTAACTGGGCCTCATGGCCCAAATCTAGTCCATGAAATTCTTCCTGTTGCCACCATTTGCCCTTCTAAAGCACTGTTTTTGTCCATATGACTCTTGTTCAAACCGTTCAGTGGCTGCCGACACTTATCAAGGGCATTCTGAATGTCTCCATGGCGGCTCGCGGCCTTCTGCTTGCCTTCCCAGCACGAGGCTCGGCACTTGCCCTCCTCTTGGGATCGCCACAAACCTGCCATCTTCTGGAGCTCACTGGAACTATGGACTGTCTTCAGTTGGCTTTGTGGCCACATGTGCAGGGAGTGGTGGTGTCTCTGGGGGGAAGAAAAGAGCCCCGAATCTGGGGAGCTCTAGCCTGCCTTCTGTGGCACAGACTTAGGGCTTACCCACTATTTGGGGGGGGTATATTTTTTAGCATGTTCGACAAAGAACAGTGGAATAGTTGGTCATACCCTTTGGTAGACTTCAAGTGCGTGAGGAGGGACTAACCGGGTCATTTATTATTATTATTTTTTGGGATCCTCCACATCATCTTATCCGTAGAAACTCTTAGGGGATTACTTATTAATTTCTATAACAGTTCTCTTATTGACCCATCCTGAATATTTACCAAAACCACGTTGAACTTGGAAAATATTTGCTCTGTAGGAGATGTGGTAGATCTTTGGGGACTTCCCTCAAATGGTGACAGCGTGTGTGGCAAGCGTGCATGTGCAAGAAGGTGTGAAGGTGTTCGCCTTTTTTTTCTTTTTTTTTTTTTTCCACTTCAAAGGGCTGTTTTCTGTAGATTTGGTTTGTGCCTTTTTTTATTTTTAAAGATTTTATTTGAGATAGAACGAGAGCAGGCAAGGGGGGGAGAGAGAGAGAGCACGAGCAGGGGGAGGGGCAGAGGGAGAGGGAGAAGCAGACTCCCTGCTGAGCAGGAAGCCCAATGCCGGGCTTGTTCTGAGGACCTTGGGATCATGACCTGAGCTGAAGGCAGATGCTTAACCCACTGAGCCACCCCAGTGCCCCCTGGATTTGTGTCTTAATGAGTTCTTTGAATTCAGAATTCTGCTGAGGAAGTTCTGCAACCCACATAGATATCACTCTATGTATAATCCGTTACTCCCCTCCCCCCTGGTATAATGTGTTAGACCTTCCTTTATATGCAGGCATATGTATCGGTATAGGACAGGGCAGAGTTTAAATTTTGATTTATGGCTTATATCTTGGGAAAGTGTCTTATGATCTCTGCCCCCCTGCCCCAACTCAACTTTAGAGAGTAGGAACTAGGGTTTAGGTCTCCTTGGGCCCTGTCAGACCTGCCATTTTATGGTTCTATTATCTGTAAGTCCAATGAATACCAAATGTTGCTGAGTCTTGAATAAAATGCCTTCTGATTGCAGGTTGAGATTCTGTCTATAGTGAAATCAAACTGACCTCTAAAGGGACATAGCCCTGTTTTGGAAAACAAAGCTTGTGTATTAAATTACTAATTTTAGTTTTCTTTTCTCTCTACCAGTTTGCTGTTTTGTGGTTCACAAGAGGTGCCATGAATTTGTCACTTTTTCTTGTCCGGGTGCGGATAAGGGACCCGACACCGATGTAAGTAATCTGGAAACTGTTATTTGATGTTAATGCAGATCTCTGACTTCACCTTTTTTTAATGCCTGTACAGCTGTTGTTTGGGCACATACTCTTAGCGGGAAGACTTGTCAATGAGTCCTGTACAACTTCGGCTCATACTGATGAACAGATCTTTAGTCCTTTGGGAGCCCTGGTAGGACTACTTGGGGATTAGAGGAGAATTTCTTAGCTTGTACTCTTCCACTGTGGGCAACCACATGAGCTAAATCCACCAACTTTATAGTAGGAGATTTCACAAACACAGTGTGGTTCTTTTCCGAAGATGTTGACAAATTTCACAACAAACGTAAATCACCCTTGATGGTTCACCCTAACGGTTTGTTGACTAATAGGACCATCCTTGCTTTGGGCCAGTGTGACCACCTCTTCCTAGCTGGCTTCATGAGATCCTTGCTGCCTTTTCATTATGTATTACAAATGCTGCTGTTGATTTAAATAATTTAGCATCTGTTCCACTGAACAACTGATCTCTGAAGCTGCCCATGTGTGAATACATAATTTTATTTGTGCCTTAATTCTGCCTGTCTCTAGTGAGCATCTCTCTTGCATCTCTTGTTTACTGAAAAATGGGATCGGCAAAGGAGAGTGGGAGTCAGGAGGCATGGGAAATTCCAATATCTAAAATGCATTGAGTGGAAAATTGGGCTGTGACGTGATAAATATTTTAACAGGAAAAAGAAATTTGCAGAGGAGGACTGGAAGAGGAGACCTTTCTATTCTGAATTGCTTTTGCTGGATCACTTCAGTCACTAATACTTAAATTATGTGCTCCAAGTGTGGTTCCTACCTTTGGTTCTCGTTCCCATCAGGAAACACAGATTTCAAAGCGGCTCTGTCAGTGTAGGCAGGGCTGAATTCTTCCCTTTCAGAAGAGGGCATACCCATGGTGAGCTCTGAGGGGTTCAGATGTGCGTGGTTTTAGCACATATAAGGAAGGAACTTACCACTGGGCCCTGAGTGCGTGGAGCCATGCTGCGTTTTGGTCAAGATGCTGGTGGAAGCTGCACAGAGCAGGAGCCTCGGGCTCAAAGCCACCGCCAACCCGCAGAGGCTTAGAACGTGGGAGACCCAGAGCCTCGGAGATCATCCTGTTCTGTGTTCACGGACCAGAAAGCCCATGTCCGTGAACAACCCACCAACATACAAAACAGTAGTGTGCCCCACCGACCCTTGTGTATTCCCCTTCTTTCTGGAGTATTGTCTCCATTTTGGGCATCTTAAAGGTAAAAATAGATGCAGAGTACCAGCTTTCCTGAAAGGTGGCCTTAAGCATCACAGTGGTGTTCCTCTGGCCACCTTGCTCATTATTCGGAACCCATCCTTCCATTCTCCCATTTTGGCTCCAGCAGGAATGGGGTGAGGTGGGGGGTTGGTAGGCCACAGGAGTGTAGTCATTGCCTGACCCCTCTCCCTCCTTCCATTTCTTCATTCTTTTGGTTAAGTACTATCTGTCTGTCTATCAATTCATTCTAAAGATTGATTGATTTTGAGAGAGTGTGCACGCATGCATGCACGGAGAGGTAGGGGTAGAGGCAGAGAGGGGGAGGAGAGAATCTCAAGCAGACTCCCCACTGAGTGCGGCCCCCAATGCAGAGTTCGATCTCATGACCCCAAGATCATGACCTGAGCCAAAATTATGAGATGGACACTTAACTGAGCCACCCAGGCACCCAAGTACTCGTTATTAAGTACTTAATATGGGGGAAGATAGACATGGAAAATACCACTAATTAAAATAGGGTAGAGGTTCTCTGAGTGTGTTTACCCAAGGGACCTACTCTAGGTGGTCAGAGGCTTCCTTCCCCAAGGAAATGGCATTAATCCAAGCTTTGGGAACAAGTAGGAGATAGGCAAACGGAAGGAGATGTGCACACGTGTGTGCTGGGGCACAAGGAGCCCTGTGAAAGACTCTTTCAGGCAAAGGGAAAAGCAAGTGAGAAAGCACTAAAGTGGGAAGTTTAGTGTGGAAGAGAAGAAGAGCAAGCTGGTCGTCAGATGTGTAGTTGAGGATTTTGAACACAATCATAGGAACACTAGGGATCTAGAGAAAGGCTTTAAATTAGGAGATGTTGATCCTGTTTGCATATTATAAGTGTTTCTCTGGTTTCCTTATGGGAAATGGACCAGGTTAGGAAGTGGGCTTGATGGATGGGTGAAGATGGGGAATACCAACCAAAGGATGAAGAATCAGCACAGAAGGCAAAGTGGTGGGAGCTTGGGGGAGGTGGCAGCACTGGGGATGGGCAGAGTGAACTCATTCAAGATACACTTTAGAGCTGAATCAGCAGCTCTCAGCCATTGGGGGATCAGGGAGATGGAGATGTTGAGGAAAAACTCTCGGGCTTCAGGCCCAAACCTATGAATGGATGGAGGCCATCAAGACCATGGAGGGAGAATGTATTTGGGAGTATGGGATAGGGCAAATCAAGGGTTTCACTTTGGACACGTGCAGTTTGAGAAATCTGACATCGAGAAGACAGTTTGTCTGTGAGTGCAGGTGTGGGGGCTGGAAGTAGAGTGTGTCCTTCTGAAGATACAGATTCCTCTGTTCTTTGTTTTAAGCTTTGGGTGTGGATCCTTTTGCCTAGAGAAAGGGGGTGGATAGAATGAGAAGAAAAGAGATTTAGGGCCCAGGAGAGAGCCCTGCGGAGAACTCTAGTGGATTGGATGGAAGAGGGAGGGAGGGAAGGAGGGGAGACCAAGGAGGAGCAGGCAGAGGAGTAGGAGGAAGACCGAGACAGTGATGCTGTTTTAGCGATTTCCTAGAAGGGCTGTAAGCCAGCTCTCTGCTTATGTCATGGATTCTGTAAGCTTCTGTTACTACACATAGTTAATATACATCCCAGTTTGCGCAGGACTGTCTTGTTTCCACGGGGAAGTCTTGGTGTATGCCTGCTACAGATTAGTTAATGTCTGTTAGGTTCTTTCCCTGTTTTGGTGATCATTATGTGGCCACCCTACTCCTAGATCCCCAAGCCAGGCAGGAAGGCTTAGTGCCAGTCTGCTGGTCACACGATACAGTGGGACACACACCTGTGATCCGATGTGTTCATCCGAGCTCTGTCCCTACTCCCTGTTGTGTTGGCTCGCTATAGATGCTTAGTCGCACATTTTAATATCCACGAAAGTGAAGATAAGAGATGACTTTTTTTTTTTTTTTTTAATATGAGGGGGAAAAAAAGTACTTGAACAGTCTGTGCGTTCTCTTCCAAGTAGAAATTTTCCTTTTGGTTGTTGGCATCAAGAGGCCAATGATTAGGGCTTTGTGCGGGCAGGGCATGAGAAGTATCTGCTGTCTGTGCGCAGCGTGGTTTATTTGTTGTACAAATCCGCAAGATGCCCAGACTGAACTGCAGCAGGGGGATCACTGGAAAAGCACGAAGGTGTCAGGACACAGAGCTGAGATGAGATGGTAGGATTTTCTTATTTTATCTTTCTTTGAATACATTTTAAAGTCTTAGAGTTATAGAGTTGAAAGGGGTGTTAAAGACTTACCTAGGTTAACTTTATTTTATGGACGAGGAGACCGAGGCATATAGGAGAAAGACATAAATGATCCAGGGGCATGGTGACATGGCCTTTGAGTGTCCAAGAGGTTTGTGGTTGACTCAAGGCCACGAAAGGGAAGAGAGGGTGCCGTGGTCTGGTCATACTGTCGGTGGAGAAGTTGGTATAGCTGCTACCTTGGTGTGATCCTTCAAAGTTCTGTTCATACATTTAGAAAAGCGCTAAAGGGCATGCGAAAGGCCGGGTAATGGAATGGAAGGATCTACCTTAAGCATTTTTTTCCCCTGAAAATCTAAAGTTTTTAGGTTAAGATTTGTTTCACACATGCCGAGTGCTTAAGATGCACACAGTTCATGTGCTGCTTAACGATGCCAGCTCTGCAGCCTCCAGGGCATTCCCACATGGGACCAAGGAAGGACAGACCCTGTGAGGTGCACCGAGACTGTACCTTGCATCTTCAGGATGAAAGGACAGGTACTGAGTAGTGTGAAGTTAGCACTGCTCAGATTACAGGAACCAAAGGGGAAATAGTTAAAAATTCTTTTGAACAGAGGTCATCTTCAAGACTCAAGGAGCAGGCTGGTGGAAAGAATGCAGATGTGTCGGGCACCTCGGGGAGGAGAAAGGGTGTCTGGGTTCCATGGAGGAATGGAAGGACCCCCCCTCCGCCCACTGCCCACTTCTCTGAACATGTTGGGCCATCCTCAGCCCTCCCCCACCTCCTCTGGATGTGCAGTGTTCCAGACACTCCCTACCGAGATGAAAGCCAAGCATTTCCAAGACTTCAAGTGCAACCCCGTGCGCAGCAAGAAAAGAGGAGAGGAAAATGAAAGAGTCGGTGTTGGAAAGGCACTTTGAGCTGGTGCTGGATTTGTGCTGCCAAATGTGCAGCCTCAGAAAGCAGCTTGGTGCTCTGCCCGGCACCCCAGCCCCGCGTCTAAGATTTTGTAAGATGACAAAGAAATAAAACTGGCCCATTGTTGAGAAATAGCTCACCTCCCTTCTGCGACCCCCTCTATCCCCCATTAAGGCATGAACTAGGATGTGGACAAGCCTTACCTTTTGGGGTGGGGGTGGGGGGTAATTTTTGCTCTTGGAAAGAAATAACGATGCTTTTGTTTCTTCAGCTGCCGCTGATCCCCTGAGCTGATGTTTTTCTCTTCCTTGCTCTGGCCATGATGGGGTGAGGCATGGGGTGCAGGTGTGGGGGTGGGTCCTAGAGGGCGGACTTTCTCAGACTCCTGCCCTTCACCTTTTAAAATTTCAGCTCCCCAGCTGCTTTGTCCTTCAGTCTGGAACTCCTCCCTCTTGCTAGAACCATCTCTGCTCAAATAACATCTGTTCCTGAAGCCCAGCCTGCTAGAGGGAAGCGGGGTATTCAGGTCTTCCAGTATGCATGAGTGTGTGTATTCATTTTTCTTAGTACTTTGTGTTTTCTGTGTGTGTCTTAA